ATTTGTTGAAAAGACCATTCTTTCCCCCTTAAATTCTCTCACTACCCCGTTGAAATTCAGTTGTCCATAATATAAGGATTTATTTCTGGACTCTTATTGGGGCCATTGATCTATATGTCTGTCCTTTTGCCAGTACCACACTGTCTTAATTACTGTTGCTTTGTAGCAAATTTTAAAATTAAGACATGTAAGTCACCCAAGTTCGTTCTTTTTTCAAGATTGTTTGACTGTTCTGGGTACTTTTAATATCCATGTGAATTTTAAAATCAGCTTACTTATTTCTCCATAAAAGCCAGCTTTTATACAGCTGAGATTCTTTTTAAGCTAACCTCAGATTTAATGAACTAGTTATTTAGGTCAAAAAGAATAATTAAGTTGATGCTACAAATTCAAACTCAGGTACTGTTGAGGTACCAAATATTCTGTCATCTGAAACCTCAGTGGTAAACACAATACCCAAATTTAATGTATTTTTGCTACTTGTTAAATACATACCTTTAAATAAATAATACTTAAGTAAACAAAGTGGATAAAATTAGATAAGTCTTTTCATATCTAACTTATTTAACTTGATACACTTTCCGGCTTTCAATATAAGATAGTTATTTTTTATTAGACAATGTTACATAATTCAACTTGTCAGTATTATTCTAGTGCTGTTAGCTATATTAATTACATGAGGACATTGGTGTAAGGGGACTCAAAAATTCACCGGTTTGGGTAGAAAATGAGAACTAGACAGTGATTTCATCACTATAAAGTTAGTTGTTACTTAGCATCCCATAATGCTAATGTATGGCAGATCCCTGTAGCCATAAATTGCAGTCTGGCATTTAAGGGATTAAAATACAGCTCAAATCCTTCAATAAAATCATATCATGCATACCATTACCTTTGAAAGTAAATGCTTGGAATTCTAGTACATACCTTAGATATCTTGTTTGTACGTGCCATTCAATTTATGGTAATGCTCTTTAAAAAATATGCAGGATTTTGTTCCTTAATTCATCTAAGTCCAGGTTCTTGTGTCATGACCAGAAAAAAAATTAGACGTGTGAATACATTGAAGGTGGAGGAAGGCGGAATTTATTAAGCAAAAGAAAGCTCTCAGCAAAGAGAGGAGTCCTGCAAGCAGGTTTCCATCTCACAAATGGAATACCAGGACCACCACACAGGAGCTGAAGAGTCCAGATTCCTCCCATGTATAAGGCAGAAATTCCTGGTGGCTCCATCCCGGTGGGCACACCGGGGCAGACTTTCTCTCTCTGGGTCACGGAACAGCATCCTGGAACAGCAGTCTGATCTTTCAGCCTTTAGGTTTCAGGCTTGAAGGTGAAGTTCACTGAGGACTCTTCCCTATCTGCCTAGGCATTTGTCTGCCTCCAGCCTCTATCAGTATGGTATTACAGATATAACACAGAAGAAAAAAAGCTTAAATCACACTTTAGGAAATTACCAGCCTAACCGCATCAGTAAAAATGGTACTATTTTAGTCATGGCATGAAATACACATAAAATCGAAGGCTGATTTTATCTTATCTTTTCTTTTTTTTTTTTTCCTTTTTTAGATAAGGTCTGGCTTTGTTGCCCAGGCTGGAGTGCATGATCTCGACTCCCTGTAATTTTCGCTTCCTGGGCTCAAGCCATTCTCCCACTTCAGCCTCTTGAGTAGCTGTGACTGAAGGTGTGTGCCACCATACCTGGCTACTTTTTGTAGTTTTTGTAGAGACAGGGTTTTGTCATGTTTCCCTGGCTGGTCTTGAACTCCTGAGCTCAAGTGATCTATTATTTTCCCTGTCCTCCCAAAGTCCTGGGATTACAGGTGTGAGCCCCTGTGCCAGCCTGTTTTTCAATTACTGAGTGCTTTTAGGTTGGAAAATGCATTGTGAAACACTCAAAGATGTTGCTGGGATTATCGAGTGCTTTCGATACTATATAAATAAGTGACAGAGCAACACCATAGTTACGTGATTGGAACTCAAGCATTATTAAATGATAGGACTGAAAAAAGTCATGTGAGTCATTTGTCCAGAATTTATAATTTTTTTTTCTGTATCCCAATAAAATAATTAAACTATGTATAGTCTCTAAAATAGCCTTCCAGTTTGTCCAACATGCTTCCTCTCCTGGCTAGATATTAGCGAAAAATTAACAAAAATAGTCTTTTCTCCTATTACTACGCGGCAAAGATGTAAAACCCTTTCTTGCCAGCAGCGCTGCCCTCTACTGGACTATTTAAGGTATTTAATCTGCTGCTCAATGTGACTATTTTACAAGAAGGTAACACAATAGGTGTAAGTGTAAACATCCCGTATCCCAAACAAACTGAAGTTCCCTGAATAGGTTTAAAAAAAAAAAAGCCTTTTAATAAGCTTTTACCATTAAAACAATTCTGGTCATTTTGAGAACTGGTAATGAAGTTTATATAGTTTTTTTTTTTTTTTTTTTAGACGGAGTTTCGCGCTTGTTACCCAGGCTGGAGTGCAATGGCGTGATCTCGGCTCACCGCAACCTCTGCCTCCTGAGTTCAATTCTCCTCCCTCAGCCTCCTGAGTAGCTGGGATTACAGGCACGCACCACCATGCCCAGCTAATTTTTTGTATTTTTAGTAGAGACGGGGTTTCACCATGTTGACCAGGATGGTCTCGAACTCTTGACCTCGTGATCCACCCACCTCGGCTTCCCAAAGTGCTGAGATTACAGGCGTGAGCCACTGCTCACTTTATATAGTCTTAGTCTCCATTTCAACCTTGGAGGCAGATCTGTGGCAATTATAATAGTAATGGATGGGAATGGTGTGTATACACTCATGTCAGTCTTTTATGATGATTTATATATTCGTAAAAATCACATTTTTGTGAGTTTATTCATGCTGTGGATGTTTTCTTAGGCATAAACATAGGTCATAGTAGACACATACTGAATAGGTCATATCTATTAAGTCTCTTGCTGCAAGCATCAAAACTTTTCAGTTATTTCCTCTGTGAAAATTCATTTTAAGTTGCAAGTTGTTTTTTTCTGTGGTTCATTCCCATGCTTGAGATTTGCAGTAATGTAGAACTAGTTTACCATCACTTCCGAAACACTCATAGAAGCTTCCAAATTCCTGGTCCACGGAAAGAGCAAAAGCCTGATTCATATAAACAAACAGCTGAGGCTGCAAGTTTAAGGAACTTTTTTGATGAAGTCAAGGAGTCTTTGGATGGTTCCAGTTCACTCTATTGCCTACTTCTTTGTTTTTCTAATAGGAATGTCTCCCACAGCCTTTAGTAGTAGGATGTCAGTTTTTTTCTTGGTGTTGCCAAAGGATCCTCTGCCCCAGGGAAACTGCAGTGGAATAAGGAGGGTCTTGAGTGGTTGTTTTGGGGAGTCCTCCATAAATCCTTTGCTGCCAGCAGCAGTTAGGGAGGTAGCTGTGACATGGTCTTCAGCTTCTGCCATCTTGCTAGGTCCTAGCTGAGATTTTGAAAAGGATTATTCAGGGGTGGTAAGGGCTCAAATAGTCCTCCTGCCTCAGCCTCATGTGCCAATGCGCCTGGCTTATGTTATTTTATTTTATTTTACCTTTTGAGACAGGGTCTTGCTTTGTTGCCCAAGCTGGAGTGCAGCGGCATGATCACAGCTCATTGCAGTCTCGATCTCCCCTGACTGAGGTGATCCTCCCGCCTCAGTTTCCCGAGTAGCTGGGACTGCAAGTGTGTACCACCACACCTTGCTCATTTTTCTCTTTTTTGTAGAGACGAGGTTTCACCATGTTTTACAGGCTGGTCTTGAGCTCCTGGACTCAAGCAATCCTCCTGCCTTGGCCTCCCGAAGTGTTGGGATCACAGGCATGAGCCACCATGTCTGGCTATTACATTATTTTTAATTCAAAAACAAATATGCAAAATTAAATTTTAAAGAGAGTACTTAGTTGGATAGCATCTTTCTCCTGGGTTGTTAGGATATGTTCATTCTTTGCAACTCTGATGTTCTGGATGTAGCAAGACCATTTGTTTTCATTTTGCTATACTCCGTACAGAAAGCTTTAATGTCTCCCCATGACCTTTATGGCAAAAACCAAATTCCCTCCATCTAGAGCCATTGTGGAAAATGATTTTTTTTTTGTGTTTGCAAACCCCAGTTGCTTGTTGCTGACTAGAATGCAAATGTGGCTCACAGGGAAGGAATGCAGTGATTGTTTGGCAGATGGCTGCTGGGGCTGAGAGAGAGGATGAATATGTCATATTTGTAAAGTGTTTGCCATCCCTAATGCAGTGAGATGATAAAGCACAGGAAATGGGTAAATTTTTGGTCTCCCCCCAAACCCTTTTCTGACTTGCTCCCTTTTTACTGCTGGGAAATGTTTGTGGATACTTGAGGTTTTGGTTGGAATGGCCACCTGTTCACAGTCTGTTGTGGAAACTTGTAATTCTTTTGTTAATAGCTATTGTACAAACGAGTCTCTTAGAAATATCAAGACATTGTAGGGACCAGTATAGTAGCTGCTGCCTGGTAGAAAAAAAAAATCTTCATTTACCTATGTAACTTTTATTAAAAAGTTATTTTAAAATGATTTTGAACTAACGCCTTTCTTTTTCTTCCTTCTAGAGTCTTGCTGAAGTCCGTTAATTCTACTTTTTGAGATGAATAACCACGTGTCTTCAAAACCATCTACCATGAAGCTGAAACATACCATCAACCCTATTCTTTTATATTTTATACATTTTCTAATATCGCTTTATACTGTTTTAACATACATTCCATTTTACTTTTTCTCTGAGTCAAGACAAGAAAAATCAAACCAAATTAAAGCAAAGCCAGTAAATTCAAAACCTGATTCTGCATACAGATCTGTTAATAGTTTGGATGGTTTGGCTTCAGTATTATACCCTGGATGTGACACTCTAGATAAAGTTTTTACATATGCAAAAAACAAATTTAAGAACAAAAGACTCTTGGGAACTCGTGAAGTTTTAAATGAGGAAGATGAATTACAACCAAATGGAAAAATTTTTAAAAAGGTAAGGTGATCTTTCATTGCCTTTGAATTCTTTCTGAATAAAATATTCTATCAGAAATGAAGTAAAGGAACAGCAAAGCCTGCCTCCATTAGAATTTGCTGTTGAAGGAGAAACAGTGTAGGAAGGGGGCTAGACTCTCCTCTGATCTATTTCTGTACTTGCCAGCACTGACATGTTCTGAGTTTTCAGAAGATCTTTGAGACCCACTGGTTGGAATATCTAGGGCAGTTTTGGGTATGAAACCATAATCCCTGTCTCTAGAGCAGCTGGGGGCTGGAAATGGCTCCAGGTTTTGGGGTAGGACCTGCAGTGTTAAATGTCACTTAGATGTGGGTAGCAGTGAGTGCTTCATGTCTTTGTACTTTGGTTGTGGCAATAGCATGGTTCTTAAAACATTTCTTTTCAGAATACAGAGAAACCTGCCATTGATGGTTTGAAACAATGGGCAAGATGTCTTTGGAGTCAGTGTAACAGTGATTAAGAGCCTGGACTGCAGACCCAGACTATAGGTCTGAATCTTGACTTTGCCACTTCCTAGCTTTCTGACCCCAGAAAAGTAGTTTAACAAATTTGCCTCAGTTTCTTTATCTGAGGCAAATATGATATGAAGATAATGATCATTACTGATACTCAGGAGCCGAGCTGTTCTAAGATCTTTACGTGTATCGTTTTAAGACTCACATTCACCCTATGAGTTAGTTATTATCTTCACTTTACAGATGATAGCACTGAGACACAGGTAGTTTAGGTCACTTACCCCAAGGATGCTACAGCTAGTGAAGCTGGGATTGGAATCCAGGCCTTCTGGCTCCAGAACTCACACCCTCCACTCTTCAATAACCACTTCAATAATCACAGCTTTCAGGCTTCTTGTGATGATTGAGTGTGTGTGTGTGTGTATCTGCAATGTGCTTAGAACAACAGTTTGTGGCACTTAATGTAAATGCTCTAGCTTTTATTTTACTATATTACTATTATCTTGATAATTCAGTGAGGAAAATTATAGGAAATTCAATGAAGAAAATTAGATCATGGAATAATGCTTCACTAGTAGTGTAGAAATGGCGTGAGAATGCTGTTTATGAACTTGGATATGTGACTTTCTTATAAGCAGTTCTTGAAATTCTAGTAGGTTAAAAATTGAAGATAAAGTATTTTTTAGAGAGGGTACAGTGATCTGTGGTTGGTTGATAATTTGGCTAGGTAATAGGTTTAATATCTTTTAACTATTTCCAGCTATCTTGATCCCCAACTGCCTTTTTTCCTGTCAGTTACAAGGAAATTGTCAGATCTTGAAGGAGAGTCCAAATAACTGCGACTATGGAATGCAAAACCAGAGCACCTCTTTAGCTGGAGGGCCAGAGGGTTGTTGCTTAGCCTCTTCTATATGGCCCATTAATTCTGCCACTTACACAAATTTCATACATCATTTTCTTCCAAACATAAAGAAGATGCCAAACAAATTGATGTCAGTAATTCCTGGAAACTAAAAACATTTTAACTCGACAACAGAATCTGTAAATTTCCTCACCTTTATATAGAGTAGTTATGTATCTTGTTTTATCTGAAATAGTCCTGATTTATACTTGTTGCTGTGAATAGTGCCCCCTTATGGTCTCAAAAGTGCCCTAGTTTGGATAGTTACATGGTCTACCTTTAAAACATATTCCCTATTTTTTTTTGCGGACTTAGAAAAAAACGATTTTTTTTCCACTAATGATCTAGCTGAAGTTAATAGCATATTTCTAGAAATTAAAATCATGAGTTAAGCATGTTAAATTTTTCTTCTCTAGCCTATGGATTGTAATTTGCAAAATACTTTATCATAATGAAGTTGGCTTTTGTCATACTTAGCACTGCTTTTTATGGTACACTATTCTTGAGTCTGTGTTTGAGAAATCTGTTTGAGAAAAGATACTGAAAACAACATTTTTATGTGCAAAAGCTTTCCACTTTTCTATCTTTCTGCTTATAGATTCATTTTTGTCTTTGTTATGCTATTTGAATTCAAAGGTTGGATTTTCTTTTAGACTAATCATATATACTGAAGTCTTTTTTTCAGGAAGCTTACTTTTCCTTCCAATATTCTACACATATTTTATTCATTTTATATGGTTAGTATTGTCTTTCAATTGTCATTCAGTAGGTATAGCAGCAAACTAGTTTTCAATTATGTAAAAAGAAAAACTGCTTATGTGCTGAATATGAAATTTCTTCTTAATCATGTGTCAGTATAATCAGGACAAAATAAAATCCTAGAGCTCTCATAGCTGTTCCCTGAAAGTGCGTGTGTAAGTGTACATGGCTCTTTCCTGCCTGTCCTGACCATAGTGCCTTTGTATTCATTGACTACTCAAAGCATGAAATATTTGTTAGAAGGTGAGACAAATTTTTTTTTTAACCAAGTTTTTCTGTCTCTACCTCATTACTGCGAAGTTTTATCTAGTTAGTACAGGAGGTTTTGAATTTCTGTATGTCAGAAGATCTGCCTAGTAGCATTTGCTATGAAATTAGCATTTGTGGGTCATCAAACTTTGTTCAGAAGGCTACAGACTCTGACATGGGAACATTTTATATTTTTCTTTAGGTTCATTGGGAAAATAGAATAATTTTTAGGTTTTGCATACAATAAATGAAACAAATATTTTCTTTTGGCCATACTCAAGAAGAAAGATTACAGTATCGTTGGTTAGCTGAGGCCTTAGTTTCTGTTCATTCTGTGTTGCAGCTGATCTGTAGACTGCAGAGTGGTATCTCAGCTGCATGTTAAACATGTTAGGCTCTTTTTTGTTTTCCCCTTTCTTGGTTTCTTCTTACACCCATTGCGTGTGTCAGTAGCAGCATCTGCCTAAGATGTTGAAAAGGGGAGCTTTCACAACTGGTGGTTTAAGCTGTGCGCTTTTCTGCTATTAGTGCCTGCTAGCTGATCAAGCTCAGGAGGGAAGTCAAACTTATTTTGATAAATTATATCTTCATTAAATAGTTTCCATATTTGAAGATAATCTTCAACTGGAAAAGAAAATGAATAATGTAGCAATATTTAAAATATTTTTTGAGGATTAACCCCAGAATATTGTATCTGATATGGTTGAAGGAAAGATGCACAAGTCTTATTTCAAATTAATGAACTTTGAAGCTTTGTTTCCATCTTATCCTAATAGTCTATTTTGAAGTCCTGAGGGGAAGATGAGTGGAAGAAAAGGTAGTGGTGATGATCCTGCTCTCAGTATGCACAAAATAGAGTAGCCACCAGCTTCACTACGAACAGATGCTTCCTGAGGGGACAGAAAAACAAAAGGCACTCGTGGCTTGGCAGGCTTTTTCAGGATCCTTTAAAATTTCATAATGTTTTATAAAACTATAACAGAGTTAAGAGCTGGAAGATGATGTGTCACCATCACCTGATTCCAGTGTTCCCAGCCGTAAATGTGTTGCACTAATGTCTTCTTGAAATGAACAGTGAAATGATTTCAGAACAACTTTAAAATACATGTATACGTGAAGTAGAACAAAGTTGCAAAGGCTAAAAATAGAAACAGAAAAGGGTGCAAGGCCGACTTAGATACTCAGTGAGCTATCAGAAACACTTATTTTTTCTTAGGTATTTTACAAAAATAAGAGACCGAGGGATTATGTAATAATGGTGCTTAGAGAAGACTTCACTATGACATTCCTTCTAAATTGATCCAAAAAGATAATAGAAACACTCATTTATATCTTTGTAAGTTGACTTATTAGCTTTCTTTTCCTCTTTCTTAATGCTGTCTTATGTGTTATTTCTTACTCCAGTCACATTTTTTATCCTGTTTGTATATTAATATTATTAGGACATTTGCATCATGCTATATATAACAAATTATAGTTAATCTCTTGGCTGGGATTTGTAGGTTGGTTATTATATTACTCTTGTGTTAGTTTTTCCTTCCAAACTGTCCCTCTCCTTTCATCCTATTTATTAAAAGCACTACTGCACACCAGATTGTCCAAGCCAAAAAATCAAGGGTGTCCGATTTATGTCTCTTACAGCCCCCTCTTTTTTAACAGGCTTCCTCCTTGCTTCCACACTTGCCCCCAGCTATAATTCACTCACACATAGTATAAAAATGATTTTTCATAATCATCAGGCCACCTCACTAACCTGACTTCTTTCTACATGCACTGTAGAAGCATTGTGATTTTGTGGTTTATCTCTGGAATGAGTTTGCTTGGATTCATATTCTAGTTGCATCACTTTTTAGTTACATGATTCTTAACAAGTTATATTTACTCTATGTCTCTGTATTTTCATGTGTAAAATAGGGATAATAATAATAACAGTTTTTTACAGTTATGGTAAGAGCTTGCTAAGTTAACACGTGTGGTGTCCTTAGCGTGTAGCAAGCACTAGTAATGGTTAGTTACCCTCATTATCATTATCTTGATTGTTACCACCATCCAAATCACTTGAGTATTTTCACTCTGTGGCTCCCCTCAGAATAATTTTTTCATAATCTTCAGTTGCAGAGAGAAAGGTTAAATGAAGCCAGGTATACTTTATTGAAGAAGACAGGAAGATGTATAATTTTGAAATATTTCTAAATAATGAAAGTAAAACAAGTCCTAGTGCTTAAACTAGTGCTTAAAGAGGTTTTCAGTGTGAGACCGAATTATCACCTATAAGTAAAGAAGGAAGGGTGGAAAATCTCTCTCTCTCTCTCTCTCTGTGCATGTGTTCTCTCTCTCTCTGTGTGTGTGTGTGTGTGTGTGTGTGTGTGTGTGTGTGTGTTGAGACAGAGTCTCTGTTGCCCAGGCTGGAGTGCAGTGGTGTGATCACAGCTCTCTGCAGCCTTGAGTTCCTGGGGTCAGGTAGTCCTTTTGCTTCAGCCTCCCAAGTAGCTGGGGCAACAAGCATGCACTGCACGCCTGGCTAATTCTTACTTTAAAAAAAAAAAAATAGAGATGGGGTCTTGCTGTGTTGCCCAGGCTGGTCTCAAACTCCTGGCTTCCAATGAGTCTCCTGTCTCAGCCTCCCAAAATGTTGAGATTGCAGGTGTGCACCAGTGCACCTGGTCAGAGGAGGATATTTGAATAGAGAAGAGGTTTCAGGCCTATTTCAGAGGGTGCAAAAACTAATAGACCAGGGACGTATAATAGGATTTGTTCTGCAGCAGTGTTTAGTGATGTTGGCAAGGAATACTTACTTTAATTTTGTCTTGGGCTAACCAACCGTAGGGGCAAAGTTAGGATTAGAAACTTCCAGCACAAATCAGATAAGATTATAGAGTGGGTAGGGTCCTCTAAATGAAATATTTATGAAAAAGGTAATTACTAGATGATTCAGTGGTTTAAATAATTAAAATCATGAGATTCAGATTTTGTTTTATATTTTATTTTTTATATATGTGGTAATCTTAACACTCATTTGATTTCTTTGCCACATGGTGGCAACATTGCATGAGTTTGTATATTTGGATTGTATGTCAAACGTCTTTTCAAAATACATAGATTCTTTGAAATTCTTAAAGCCTGTCATTTACATTCTAGAATCTGGAAGGTAGTGCATTCTTAATCTTTAGAGTGTAAAATTCTTAATAATTGTAAACCAGTTCCTGCACATTTTGGCCAAGTTCTCATCTATCTTCTCACCCCCACAGAGCTCCTTTTGAAGTCATTGGAGCTCCCTGTGCTGAGCATTTCATGGGGGTGAAGAGCAAGGTGAGAGTTTGGGACCAGTAAATTAAATAAGTATTATCTTAAATGCAGTTGCTTTATCCATCAGAATTAAGAATTTATTTCTTAAATGCATAATTGAATAGGACACTAGATGGCAGCATTTATCCTTTCCATTTTTATCTTCATCCAACCTCTTATTTCCAGAAATCTCATCAGTGTTGTTTACATTTTAAAATGAATATGGTCAGATGATTTTAAGGTGTTTGAGATGTATATTACTGACACAGCCTTGTTTGCGAATTAATTACCTATGTATTTTTGCAGAGGGAGGAACTTTTTATGCAATCTATGTGTAATTAGGGATTTATGGTTTTATCTAAGTTGAGGAAAATTTCTAAAGACAATATGTTAAAGAGCTTTAAAAGGGCATTTTTACTAATGCATACTTGATGTTACCTGCACTTATGATAAACAGATAAAATATTGAAAGCCTGGTGGTACCAGTAGCATTCAAGGCTTGAACAGAAGGACTTTGAATAATATAACTAGTCCACCTGGTTGTGTAAACAGAGACTTGTTTACTTTGTTATCCAGAGTTTGATATGGCAGTTCAGGTTCAACAATCATAAGTATTTCTGTTAGCTTGGAAAGGGGAAGTTTCTGTGAATCATATTATATCTGATACTGACATTTAGGAATTCCTAAATAGAAATTAAAATTTTGGCATCTGTGGTACTTGGTAATAGGCTCAGTATTAAGTTAACACCTAATTCATTTAAATAGATAACGGAATTTATAAGTAGATTATTAGTATATGACTATTTGGCCAGGAAGTTGACCTTTAGGATCCCATCAAACTCTCAATATTTTTGAAAAAAATAAAGCCCAAAATTCCCCTAGTTACGTTGAAAGATTTAGCATAAGATTTGGGTTGTTATAGGTGATGTCACAGAATAGCTAATTTTTAAAATAGATTTTTCACTAAAACTCAATTTCTAACTTTTTATTAAAAAGTAGTTTTATGCAAACATAACTTTCTGGATCGTCATAACATTTGGACGGTTTTCTGGTTTCTTTCTGTAAATTATTATTTTGATTACATTAAAATGTGCTTTTTTTGTTTTTGTTTTTGTATTTTTAACAGGTTATTCTTGGACATTATAATTGGCTATCCTATGAAGATGTCTTCATTCGAGCCTTTAATTTTGGAAGTGGCTTACAGAAATTGGGTCAGAAACCAAAGACCAACATCGCCATCTTTTGTGAGACCAGGGCCGAGTGGATGATTGCTGCACAGGCGTGTTTTATGCATAATTTTCAGCGTATGTAGACTTTCTTAACTTCTGGAAGAATGGACTTACAGATATTTATTGAAATACTTTACTCTGAAGAGGTTAAAATTCTGATGTTAATTTTCACCGAGTGTCCAGTTAGTGGAAAACTCTGCTATGATTTGTAATTTGTGGTTTATACCAATCAATGTTGCAGTGAGGCTTGAACCTCTTAATAGCGAGACTTTCAGGGTCTTGAGAACTAGACCTACACTCAGGGGCCATTGTTCCAATACCATTTCTCAGGAATCCTCTTTAGAAGTTACTGTCATTTTGTTATATCACCTCTATCAGTAACAACAGTTGACTTCCGAGGCACTTTCACACCGAAACATGGTGAATTTCAAGGTGCTAGGGTAGACAATAGAGAGTTTTCCTATTGTAGTTATTTGAGGGGTAAGCGTGGTGGCTCAGTCTGTGAGATAGTTCTGGAAGCATAAGTTCAGAGGTGTTGGTGCCAAAATGTGACAGTAATTTATGGATGTTTAGTCTCATCCTTCAGGTGAAACAATAGACTTTCACCAGATTTCTTGGCTGTAAATTTCCCCAGTTTTTTTTTTAAACAAATATTCCATTTTTGTTTTCACAGATTTATGTTTACATTGTTTCTTTTGAGGAGCTTTAAAATAATTATTTTCAAAGTCATTTTGTGTATCTTCTTTTTTAGTTAGGCAGAAAGAAAATAAAGATCTATATTATTCATGTTATATGGTTTCAGCATTTCTGAGAATGTTTGTCTTTAGATATTTTGCTTGAGAATAAGCAGTATTGCCACTTGTTTGTGCTCTTTTCTTGACGTACACCATAAATCTGACATTTAGTGTGTCACCTTATTTGTATGTGTTCTTTTTCACATTATAGAACTGAGTGGTTAACAATTAAGATTTTGAAGTTTTAGAAGTCAGTTATAATTCCTTCACAACGTGGTAGTACCAGAGTAACATCTATAAGTGAAACAAAATAAAAATTAAAATATCTCCATCTTTAAAAATTGGAAATCTTGGGGTATTTAGGGGAGGATGAGTAGGTATAATGTTGATTAGTATGATCAGATAACTTTTAAAAACATAACACTAACAGACTATGAATTTAACAGTTCAGGGCTCTGAATGCTTTATTCATCTCCACTTTCAGAGACTTTACATTTGTAATTAAATGTTTGAATATTTGACTCACTGCTTCTTTTCCTTTTAGTTGTTACATTATATGCTACTCTAGGAGGTCCAGCCATTGTTCATGGATTAAATGAAACAGAGGTGACCAACATCATTACTAGTAAAGAACTCTTACAAACAAAGTTGAAGGTGAGGACTCTAGTTACTTTGTAACTGTCTGATACTTTAGAATTTTCAGTGTCATGAGCCCTGTTATTGATACTTAATTCTTTTATGACTTTTAAATCTTTCATCTTTGTGGATTTTTATGACTATCATACTTTAGTTTTTTTTTTAGAAAATAAAAAGTAGATTTTGTATCTATTCATGTATAAGTATCCAGGTTTAAAAATTGTTAATATGCCTATGTCTAAATTGAAGAAATTACGACTATTATTTCTTTTATTGTGTTCATCTGTTTTCTAGTCTACTTTTAATAAATTTGTAATTTTGAAGGGTTATATTTTAAACTGGCAATTTTTATTTTACCTCTGAAGCACTAAGTAATTAGAAGTTTTCAGAATTTTTTTAAAGTTAAAAAGGGAGACTTTTAATGAAATTACAGTAACAAGAGTTTTCTTTGGTCTCTAGACAGCTCCCAGAAATATCTGGGGTATTCTTTTCTTTTTGAACCAGTTTACATGTGAATGTTCTCCTCCCTCCCTCTCTATATGTAGTCTCTTGAAAATACGAGGGGCTTCTGGTTTCTCTGCAGTTCAGGCAGCCTGTGATTACATGCACATTTGGTAAGGCAGTACCCTTCTTGATCAGGGTTTTACCAGAGACCAGGGGTATACACAATCTAATGCTATAAAATAATAATTTAAATTCAGACCAATACTTACCCATCTGTAAAAAGTGATATTATGTCAGTGTACCCTTTCTTTTTACTTTTTTTGAGGCAAGAACGTACTTAACAATTCACTGAATATGGTAAACTACTTATGTCCTGAATTATTCACTAAATTGCTAGAAAAATAACAAACATGATGAATGTTGGTGTATTTCTAGGACATAGTTTCTTTGGTCCCATGCCTGCGGCACATCATCACTGTTGATGGCAAGCCACCAACCTGGTCCGAGTTCCCCAAGGGCGTCATCGTGCATACTATGGCTGCAGTGCAGGCCCTGGGAGCCAAGGCCAGCATGGGTATGTTCCACTTTTCTCATTCCTTACCTGTGCTTTCTGGCGGCCACATTCTCCAGAATTATGTCAGAGGTTTGCTTCTGAGGTTAGCTCAAATCACATATCAGTCTTTTACCATCAGTTGGGAAAGCGGATCCCTCTAGGTATACTTTTATCTAGTCTTGAAAGAAAGTTTTAAGGAAAAATATAAATATTAATTATTAATGTTTTAAAAGTAGTAATTTGAAATTTAAAATATTTTACATTATTCAATTCTTTATTTCCTTTTTATGATAGTTTTGGATGGGTTAAAGTTTATAAATAATGCCATTAAACTTACCTATATGAATTACCTGTGAGTAGTATTAACAGAGTGGCTGAATCTGGAGGCCTCCTTTTATTCCCTGCTCCAGCTCGTCCCTTTCCTGAGGTGTGAGAAAATGTTAGCTAGTATACTAGTGTTTAGAGATACTGCAAAAGCTGCTGGGATGTTGGGACTGTGTTTCCTCTAGTTGGAAACATAGTAATTAATTAGATATAAGCATTCACTCAGCTCAAATTTTAGGCACCCTGAATTTTAGTGGCGGTGGCACATTTAGATGCAGATATGTTGTGGACAGTGATGTGTACAAGTCTAGTACTCGAGTTATGACTTAAGAGATTTGGAAGCTAGAATCACTCAGGTTTTAATTATAGCTGTGGGAGTAGGGGGTGAGGTCACCCACTGGGACTGGTGGCTTCAAAGGTTACCAAGGACTAGTGAGAGAGGAAAGAAGAACATACCTAGTAGTCTGTGGTTCCTGGAAGTCAAGGGAAAGGAGATCTTGGTGAGTCGTGAGCAGGATCAGGGCTGCATGCAGAGGTCAGATGACACAGGATTGTCGCTTCCAAGGAGTGGTGGTGTTGGAGAAGGTGTGGTGGTGGTGGTGGAGACGGGTGCTGTGGGTTGAAGGAGTGAAGGTCTGATTTGGAAGTAAAGAACTTCCAAGTGTAAACATTATTTAAACATTATATCTTGACAGCAGAGGCAGCGTCTTCTATTGGGAATACATTTAAATAATTTTTTCACACTCATTTAGAATTCCACATGTAGAGTAGTTCTGGGAGTAGTAGTTCAGACAGACCAACGATGCCAACCATGACCTATTTTTCTTTGTTCTTCTGCTGTGCCACCTCAATACCATGTTGACTGTTGTCCTTAGGCTTGGAGTCTTCTGATTTCAAATGGTTCACATTGTCTTTTAGTGCAGGACTCTGAGTGTAGCCAGGTTAGTCACCACTGTGAAGGAGTGAATGGTTTTTAACAAACCCCTAGATACTGTAGACCAAGCTACCCTTATTTCTTAGTTGAATTACTGGGATAATCTTGTCTCCCTGATTCCTTTTTGCCCTTTCTAAAGTTAGCCACACAGCAGCCAAAGTGATACAAGAACACACTCCTGTTCAAAACAACATTGTTTTACACCCAGAACAAAGTCCAAAATTCTTCCCATGGCCTTTGAAGTCCTATGTGTGGTCCCCGGTAGCCACTTTATCATCATTTCCTACCACTCTTCCTGTTGCTCACTCTGTTCCAGCCACACACCTTGCTGGTCTTTTGATGTACTGAGCCCATTCCCACTTTGGGTCTTTGCATTTCCTTCTTTCCTTCTAATTAGAACACTCTTCTCCCAGTTCCGGGGTTTCCATGGCTCCCTTCCTTACATTATTCAGGCCTTTGCTAAAGTAACAACTCTACAGAGATGTTTTCCCAGACTTTTCCATCCAAATAGCATCTCTTGTCATCCTTCTCACCTTGTCTTGCTTCAGTTTTCTTCATAGGTTAATCTGTTTGTATATCCCAGTAGAATAGATCTTCCTTCCATTCAGGGACTTGATCTATTTTGTTGATCACAGTGTAATTAATATTTGTTGAATAGAGTTAAATTAATCTGATAGGGCTGTTTATTTGATTGAATTGATTATGGAAAGAAATTGCTGAAACAGCTGAATCTCATAAAAGTGTATGTGTTTGTATTTTCTCTTCACTGCAGAAAACCAACCTTGCAGCAAACCGTTGCCTTCAGATATTGCAGTAATCATGTACACAAGTGGATCCACAGGACTTCCAAAGGGAGTCATGATCTCACATAGTAACATCATTGCTGGTATAACTGGAATGGCAGAAAGGATTCCAGAACTGGGGTATGTCATTGTAAAGTAACATTGAGTAGTTAAGTATTTGGGACTGTTATAATATTAGCATTTGTGTCATTTTATTAATATATTATTAAATTAGTCCTTCAGAGTCTGTTTATCGTAGGCATTTCTGTAAAAAATAAAAAAGGGCATTAAAATTAATGACAAAATAGTTATAGTGAGGTTTACAATATATAGATATTTATGTTTTAAAAAGTACAGAAGTTAACTTTGTATAGTTGTAAATTCTTTAAATTATGTTAATGAGCTTGTATTATTGCCTCTGTAGTTGTTTGTATATCTAAATACAATTCAGGTGAACAGGTAACTTAATCTGTCCAGTAAGTATTTGTTGAGCTTCAGTATTCTGCCTCTGATTTTTCTTGTCATAAGAAAAATCAAATTCCAGTGGTAGCAGTGAAAGTTAGAGTAGAACAGGAAAGAGACTGATGGAGAAAACCAGATGGAAGTTTGAGGGACTGTCAAGCAAACATTGCCAGAGATGCAGTCAGTATTCTCTTGACCAATAGTGTACAGTGATTGGATATTTTTAATGGTTTTAGGCACAGAAATTACAAGCATACGTGCACACACATACACAGTTGCTATGGGATTGAACTTGGGGATAGAGGAATTTCTCTTACGTATGCATACATTTCTGAAAAAATTCAACAATTTTCTTACAGGTTTGCCTCAGTTGCTTTCTACATTTTGGGTGTGGGGGCAGCTCTTGAATCATATACACGTATATATACACATATTTTCTATATATTACTATATGATCTATTATATAATCCAATTCCCAGAACAAGCATCTCATCTGTAAAATTTCTAGCAGACAGTTGTGGGTTCTTCTCTTCTGGTTGGCAACCCATTAGATGTAAAGACCATTTCCTCCCTGGATGATTTTTTTCTGTTCTTCAGAAAAACCCTATATTATTATTTGTTTAAGCTGCTGTGTCTTCTGCCTCAGTACTTTGCTTCAGCAGTGCTTATAATTCCTGAGTGCTTTTAAGTAGGACTGGAAATGGCATTCCTTCCTTCCACCTCCTCACTTTTAGGTTGAGCTGTAATTCTTTTTCCCTAACATCCCCAGCGTCTGTCTGTCTCTCTGTCTCTGTCTGTCTCTCTCTCTCTCTCTCTCTCTCACAAACACACACACACTTGACCAGCAAATGAATGCCCTGGGGCCCTTCCATGTGCCTTCAAGCTTGCTCCCATTGTAGAGCACTTTTGGCAGAGACAGAACCTGACCTTTGTTTCTGTTTTCTCCCTTTCCTTTTAGAGAGGAAGATGTCTACATTGGATATTTGCCTCTGGCTCATGTTCTAGAATTAAGTGCCGAGCTCGTCTGTCTTTCTCATGGATGCCGCATTGGCTACTCTTCACCACAGACTTTAGCAGATCAGGTCAGTTAAATGTCTGCAACTTGAAATACTAAAAAATTATAATTAGTTTTAATACTTTTTTTTAGTCAGTATGACAGTATAAGAATGATGGTTCATTTTAAAATGAGCTTTAGCCTCTTAAGTGCTTCTTAGACTGTAAGTACAGTAAAATAACTTATAATATGCTTTTTGATATAAGAATACCATTGAATTTTAAAAGTAAGGATCACTTTTTATGGATCACTCTTCCCTCTCTATTTTATAGTCATCAAAAATTAAAAAAGGAAGCAAAGGGGATACATCCATGTTGAAACCAACACTGATGGCAGCAGTTCCGGTAAGAAGTGACTCTTATTTAATATTTTGTATTAAAGAAGTATCACCCACCACAAGGCATTAGTGCTAATGAAAGAAAATATGTTGTTGACAAGGTAGTTTATGTAGGATTTATTCCTTATTGATTATGGTATTGCCTTAGGCACTACAGGATTTCTTCAGTCTTGCTTTAGCCTTTTTTGTTATTTACTAAGCGCTCAATTTCAGCTTCTATATGAAATTATCAGCTCCTTTCCCCAAATACTTATTGTTAAAATAAAAATTATTTTCATGATACCTGTTTGAGAATTCATTGATAACTTGAAGCATCTTGAGAGAAAGGAGGGAAAGTGTGAGATTACCTCCTTCTTAGCAAGTTGTGTAGTTACCTCCTGAGTCCTCAGGGAAGTCTGGCCTAAACACCAAACAAAGTGACAGAGAAGCTGGTGCAACTTTGAATGACTCAAGAGGGGCTGACATAATACAGAGGCCTGGGAATAAGACAAAGGAAATGGGGCAGCAGTGGTTTTCTGGCTCTTCATTACATAGGCTGAGTTTGTTTGGAAATGATGGCATTATTATCAGATACCTAAATGCTTACATCAGGAATAATTACATAGCTATTTCAAAGTGAAATATAAATAATCAGTAGTTTTGTAGTTTCTATAATTATAGTTTCTTAACTAGTATCCTACTTAAATTTTTTGTTCACTTAAAAATGACATAATTTAAAATTATGGAGGAAACATTATTTTAAGTAATTAAAAGTATACTTCATGTTAATGGACTTAGCAACCAAAATGCAGTGCAGACAAAGAAAACTTCCTGGTGCAATATTGAGGCAAATAGCCAAACAAAACCCCAAAACATCCTGTGGTCCTTTTGTGAGCAAAGAATGTGTAACTGTATATTTTTATAAGATAAAGTTAGGAAATTTTTAAAATCATTTCAGATGGTTCATTTATTTCATGAATAGGTTTTAGTTAAGAATCAGTAAGATAAGCAAGGAAATATAAAGAATTATTAATAGTTAATAATAATAAATAATTATTAATAAAAGCCCCAAGGCTTTTATTTCTGCTTTTTCTTACAGTTTATGAGTATCTCAATATATTTCTGCGTTTAAAAATTATTTTTTTAAAAACTTTATTTTTAAACTAATTGTGGTTCTGTTTCAAAATTTGATCTTGATAGGATACATCTTTTCGAAAAATTCAAAAAAATTTTTTTCTTCTTGCTGAAGCACATCCACAGTTGAAGAATACATCTTTTAAAATTCCTTAATATTGCTAGAAATATTAACCTGATGCTAAGATTTGAATATGTAAGGCAGCTATTATCATCATTAAACTCATTTTCATACATTTAGGAAATCATGGATCGAATCTACAAAAATGTCATGAATAAAGTGAATGAAATGAGTAGTTTTCAACGCAATCTATTTATTCTGGCTTATAATTACAAAATGGAACAGATTTCAAAAGGACGTAGTACTCCACTGTGCAATAGGTAAGTAAAGACTCTCTATCTCCCTCTTTCTCTCCTTGATAATTTAATTGTTTAGTTCACATTAATAGCCCAATTAATGGAGATAGTTATAAGAAATACATTTAGTTCGTAGAGTCAAGGGAACTCTTTTAAAAAATTCCATCCTGACTGGGCGCAGTGGCTCATGCCTGTAATCCCAGCATTTGGGAGGCCGAGGTAGGAGATCACCTGAGGTCAGGAATTAGAGACCAGCCTGGCTAACATGGCAAAACCCCATCTCTACTAAAAATACAAAATGTAGCCGGGCTTGGTGGCATGCACCTGTAGTCTCAGCTGTTAGGGAGGCTGAGGCAGGAGAATCACTTGAACCCAGGAGGCAGAAGTTGCAGTGAGACAAGATCACGTCACTGCACTCCAGCCTGGGTGACAGAGTGAGACTCTTGTCTCAAAAAATAAAAATGAAAAAAATCCATCCTGACATGGGAGGATTGCTTGAGGCCAGGAGTTCAAGACCAGCTGGGTAACATAGCAAGACTCCCTCTCTGCTTAGTTGGACATGGTGTCACATACCTGTAATCCCAGCTACTTCAGGACTGAAGTGGGAGGATCGTTTGGGCTCCCAGTGGGAGGAGGATTGTTTGGGCCTGTGAGCAATAACCACTCCACCCTGAGTGAGAGTGAGACTCTGTCTCTTTAAAAAAACAAAACAGCCTGTATAACAATATGGGCAGTTTTAAAAAACCTTCAATGTCATTAAAAGCTTGTTTTCATTTAAGATTTTGCTATTTGTGTGTTTATATTTTCTGTGAACACCTAGGTAGTTTTAATTATTTTGAGAAGTAGTTTCTTTTTTGCTTTTATATTTATTTCAGTATGAATATAATTAAATGTTTTTGTTTAAAGAGTTAAATAATCAGTTTTATTCCAACTTGTATTTTTATAGCATTAATAGAGTACATAGATTTATGAGTTTATCATAAAATAGTTTAGAAGTTAGAAAATGGAAATATATGACATTCAAAGTATTTTTATGGGAATATTAATATGTAGTTTTCAGATGCTTCACATAATTTAGAGCTGTGTAAGTTGGATAACTAAGGCAATCCTGCCTTACGTTAGTTATTTCTTTAGTGAGCTATAAAGTTGGCCCTCTGTTTCCACAGGTTCCACATCTTTAGATTCAACCAACCATGGATCAAAAATATTCTGGGGAAAAACAATAAAATATAACATTGTTGTTATTAAAGTATAACAACAATGAAAAAGACAATACAGTGTAACAATTATTTACATAGAATTTATATTGTGTTAGATATTATAAGTAATCTAGAGATTTAAAATATTTTGGAGGCTGTATGTAAGCTTCATGCAAATACTATGTCATACTATCCAATTTTGTATGAGGGACTTATGTATCTGAGGATTTTGGTATCCAGAGGACTGGATGCCAGGGGATAACTGTAAAAGCTGATTTGAAAAGTCTGTTAATATCATTTTTTAAAAAATGGTTGCCATGTAGTCTTTACCTTTTTTAAAGGTTGTTTTGTTTTCTTAAGTACTCCCTCTCCTTTTTGATCAAAGCAGTCTTTTCATTAGTGTATTTTCAGAAACATCAATTAGATGTTTAACTTGTTTCTTTTTTTAATACCTCACAGATAATTTACTAGATT